TTCATATTATCCCGGATTACTCTGAGATGAAGAAAGACCGATATCTGGTCCTCTTTCCGCAAATACTGCTCGTGTTGTCCGTCAGCACCGAAATGACATCATTTGTGTTTGAAGTGAGAGTTTTTTTTGCTATTAATTAATTATTTTAAACATAAATGTCGTGTTTTGTCCGTTTTGTAGTCAAAACTACGGCTCGAAGACGCGGCCATCAAAACCAGCGGCGAACTAATGGACACAACAAATATATTCGAGATAACGGCCGCCGACGACAAGTCAAGCGGCGGTCAGACGTCGAGCATATCGTTTATAATCCAATGCCCAACGATTGACGACTCGAAGAAATGGGTGGAATTGTTGCAGAAATATATATTACATTCGCAGACATTGAAACACAATCCCGGGGCCGCCGGTCCGCCCCTCCCAACCAATCACAGCGTTGACGGCGCCGTCGTTCAGCAGCGATCGGCCGCTCCGTCGATACACAGCGCCGACGGTTCGGTCAGTTCTTTGGCGTCGCCGGCGGTTATACTGAACGCATCGCAATCGTCGCAACGGATTGGTGGCCAAACGCCGCCACACGTGAGCCGTATTCACACTTATTGGACTAATAAGTGTTTGTTACCGCATCCGCCCACTCGTATTAGGCCTCACAGCGGGACCGGCGCTGCCGTCACTGCACCCGTTGTCGACAAAAAAGGCAATTTGAGCGCAAACGACGATATGCTTATATTGCAAGTCATTGAGGGTTATTGTAATACCGGTCGCGTTCGGCAGCCTTCGACCGCAGGTATGTGTGGAACAGCTTTTGTGATGATTATTATACGTGTTTCACTTCAATGCGTAACCATTTGTTTTGTATCCATAGCTTATTCAGAGAGTCCTCAGGTGTATGTCGTGGACGAGGAGAAGCCAAACACTGGCAGCAATTCATCAGTTAATAGTCTGCATAGAAACGGAGATTTGTATGCATTTATTTGAATTATTTTGTACACTTTTGGCTAATTATTTGAAAACTCTTTTTTTTTAATTTTTAGAGTTAATTCAGAAACGGATTTAAGAAATGAGTTAAGACTTATGAAAATGGTATGAATTGTTTTTTTTGAAATAACTTTTTACTTGATCTTAATTTAAATGTTTTGTTTGTATTTTATACACAATTAGGAGATTAAGTCACTATCGGATGCCTTAAAAGCCGAGCGCCGGTCGCGTCGGAAACTGAAAGCCTTTGTAATGGAGTGTCAATTGAGTGCCAAAAATACGCCAAAACCTTAAAAGCAATTACTTTTTTGTTTCTGTCGATTATTGAGAGAGAAAATCTATTTTTACAAATCATTTTGGATATGGATTTGAATGCAATATTTGTGTATAAATTATTGGTTTTAATTTATTATTTATAAAAAACAAATGCAAAAACCATTGACTGCTTCTTGTTTTTATACCTCAGATATTTTAACTAACAATTAGTGTTTAGGAATTTATTTTATAACAAAATTATATAAATAAAAGCTATTTATTATATATTTATTCATTACGATTCTGCTATTCATTGTTTTTTGTCGATATATTTTTCTGTAATTAAATATTTTTAAAATCCATTAAATATTTTACTTATTTTGTGGCAAAAATATCATTCGTTTCTTATTCTTCCGCATCTGTGTATCAAAAGATGTGTTGTTTTATACTATCTTTGGTTTCAATGTTAAGTTTTAGAATAATTTGTGATTTAATAGATATATTGATAAAACTTTATTCATTGACAATATATTAAAGACAATATTAGAAACGCATATTTAATACACAGTATGAGAAAAATATTTATAACACATTATATAATTGTCAATTATTAATTGAATATACAGAAAATGATAATAAACGACCAGATTTTAATAACGAGTTATAACAATTGTTATGCCATATCGGTAATAATTGTTTGAAACAACCGAGATTGGAGTAGCAGGTTTGCGGTGACCTCTTTCACAATTGTGGTCACTCGTGTACATAATGTTTGTAATTTTTCTTGTAATCCAATAATACACTGCCCTTTGGTCGCCGTTTCGGCCGTACTGTCCATTATCTTCTCCATCACTTCCATATGATCGCGGATAACGCGGATGCAATCGTCGACACGGCTTTCGTTGCGTCGCTCGCACTCAACGGCTCGGCAGCGGATGTCCTGTAAACGAGACGCGCGGACAAAGTCGGCGATCGAGAAACTGTGCGAAATCATTTCCATCAGTTTACCGCTCATATGTAAACCAGTGATCGTCGCCTTTGTCTCCGACAGTGTGTCCACCATTTGATCCATAAGTGATTGACAACTGTCCGCCACGTACTCTATTTGTTCGCTTAAAGCGGTGTCTTCTTCTTCGTGGCCATCGATGACCGGGAATTCAGCGGTTATTTCGTCGACAACTCGCGGGCGACACATGTTTTATATATTGTATATAATTTTAATATTTAAAATGATGTTTAATTTTATAAAACCTTGTTTTACAATAAAATATAATTCATTTCGTGAACAAAACGCCAATTGTTTCATAGGTTTGTGTAAAGATTAAGAGAGGATTAAAAATATAAAGAGATATGTTTTGGAAATTTTTATAAACTTTTATTTAAGACTCAATCGACAGTATTTTGTAACACCAATCATACGTGTAATGTATTGTTATTTTGTAAGCACTTTAATAAGGAATTAAAAGCAATTTTTAAACAGTAATGTTATTATTTTTATATTAAAAATTGTATTAAAATTATTTGTTACAATTAACAGATAAGTACTATATTAAAATAATATTTTATTTAATTAAAAACAAATCTTAATAATATAAGTTTACATTTATGTTTGATATATAAATGTTTAAATTTTAGAATTTTCAGCATATTTAAACTTCAAATTGTTTGTGATTATACGATGACATGTATTATCTGTTTTAACAAACAACTCGTGTCATGTATTTTCATATCTTTTATTAATTGATATAACAATTAAACATTTACTTAATATAAAGACGCGATTTATTTAAACAGGGCTTAAGAAACTCTTGTCCAAAGTCACGGATCCATTTGGTGGCAATCCATTTGTCGCCGACCAGTACTGGACACCCGCTATGTTTTGTCTGCCGATCGGTGTCTCCCGAGTCGTACAGATTATGCCAGAAAAGTGCCGCAGACTTCTCGGGCAAAACGGTTACATTCAAGAGGGGGAAGACAGTGGCGCCGCCGGCCTCCACATCGGCCAAGTAGTTGATCCACGTCGCGATCCGATCGGATTCGTTACCCCTCTCCCGATAGGCGCTGAACGAGTCGTAATGATAGTCATAATAACCGCCGACACTGTATTTGATAGCATTGTATGGCTCGGCATAACTCGTGTTGAGGCCAGTGATGGCTCCGATACGTCGGCTTACAGTTTGCAACACCCGATCATACCTATCGAACAGCCAATTGCCGTTCGCCACCCGTATATTAGATCCGTAATTATATCCGGAATCCGATTGATTCCGCTCTCCCGATACCTTCAGCCTAAGTGTTGGTTTAGTCATTGATATCATGGTTTGTGTTTCGTTGTCTGACATGAAGTCATGGATTACAAGAATTTGCGGTCTTTTATACTTCTCTTCCACTTTAATACGAGTTAACCGTAAAAATGGGATTTCAGTCGTGTTTAAGAAATAACAGTTTAATTGCGAAACAATTGAATCGTTTAAAAGTTTTTCTCCTCTACACAACTGATCCCCGTTTTCACTCAATCCGTAAATTGGATTCAATTTAGTCTTGGATTTGATCTGAAAATATTCATTACTTTAATTGTTATAAAATATAAACATAGTGTCAAAACCTGTTGCTTCACAGATTCAATGTCCGGTTTAATAGCCATTGAAATTCTTAAATATCTTTGGGCTTCACTTGAATTTCCTATTTCTTGTTCACAAGAAGACAGGTATTTGAAAATCTCTGCAATTGTCTCATCGGTGGTCTTGTCATCAATTTTAGTGATCGCTTCAGTTAACCATATCATTGCTTTTGAGGTCTCGTTGTTTTCAAACGTTAATTTTCCGATTAAATAACAATCGAAAGCATTTAGTGTTTGGTTTTGTAAACCAATGGATTTGATGACCACTTCATCTCCGGATCCGTTATTATATTTAATGAAACCATTTATTAATGATTTGATATCCAATCCGTATGTATTCACGAGACTTATTAATCCATACGCAGAGTCTGTGAATGGGATTAACATTAATATAGGTTTAGCAAAAGAATAATATTTGGTTATTAAATATTATTAGAAAAATATTAAATTAAATTAATTTAATTACTCATCATTTCTTTGTTAGTTATCTTATCGTCAAATCGTGTCATTATTTCGGATGTGTTTTTCAAAGTTGTGTTTTGATTACAATCGACGCCAAAGAGATTGCATTGAATATCAAACAAAGGTTTGTCTTTCTTTCCTAATAAAATCTTCACTTCTTGCCATTCAATAGCTATTCTTCTGGTGAGAAGATAGACATCGATTGGATGTCTTAGAAGTGATTCCTTGTCTTCATTCAAAGTAATTGAGTTTAATTCAGAAAAACTATTTAATAATCCTTTTAATCGAGAATTGATGGCCTCTTCTGTGGATAAATATTCACTCAATGTCTCAAACATTGACTTCTCTTTAGTTAAGAAATGAGACAATTTTGCGAAATCAATGTTAAAACAATTTACGGATGAATTAAAACAAATTATATGTAAAATACAAATTACAATTAAATAGGATTTCATGGTTAGCATAAAAAATTATACTTTTATTCAAATAATAAAAAGTGAATTAAACCTAATTCTTTACTATTAAAACAAATCACTAAAACATTAAAACAGTTTTGTATCGCAAAAGAGTTATTTTAATAAAACAAATCATTATCAAAACATGGTAAATGATCGTAACTTACAATTTGTAAGCATAAATTCATTTCCTTTATTAACGTTATAACAATACATGTACTCTAATGATGAGACAATACAATGATTGACCAAAAATCTAACCATTTCTTGCATTTACAGAATAATGCAAAATAATTAATCAATTCAATGATGATATTGATATAAATATTAATATATTTAACTGATAATTACTTTAATAGTTTATATATTTTAGATTTATAAAACAACTCTTGATAAAACATGCTATAAAGTTACTTTATATTTAATTTAGCATACTGTATGTTTGAAATTTTATAAACTTTTCTGTATAACAAAAAACAATCAAATTGATTGCAATTATTTCGAATATACAAACATTTAATTTACTGTAATTAAATAAATATCTACAATTAGATATAACTGTAAAAACAACTTGTTAATAAGTTTTCTAATAAATGAGCATGGTCAAAATAAAACACTTTTTAAAATTTTAGTAAAATTTACATTCATTTTAATATTCATAAAACTATGACATAAAATTTTAGAAGAAACGCTCCTTGGTGTTTTTCGCAATTAAATGCATATTTCCAAGCAAATCTTAATAAAATGCCTACAGTAATGTACATGTAACCGATAAATATGGTTAAATAAAATTTTTGTGTCTTTAAGAAAAACTAATTTATTCAAACTTTGTTATAAAACTAATTAATCAATACATTAATTGAATTTTAACAACATTAAAAATATATAATATACTGTAATAAACAATTGATTGGGTGAAGCGTATTATAGCACATCCATAATAAGTGCTTGAAATAACCGATAGTGGCGATTGTGGCGATGTGTGATGGCCCGAACCACCTTGGTAACCTTAGTATGCGTTCGTTGCAAATAGTCGTACAATTTAGAAATGACTATCCATTTGGTGTCCGTATCGGCCATTCTGTCCATTATCTCGTCCAACAGAGTGTTAGAGTCGCCGACAACTCGCATGTAGTCGTCGATAAGGCTTTCGTTTTGTCGCTCGCACTCAACGGCCTGACTGTGAATGTCCTGTAAGTCAATAGTGAGTCCCCGTTCGCCGATTGACACACTCTTCTCGTCCATCATTTTCATCAGTTTTTCGCTGATATACAGCCCACTCGACAGTGTCTTTGTTTCCAACAATGTCTCTACCATTTGGTCCAAATGTGATCGACAAGTATCCGCCAATTGCTGTATTTGTCCGCTTAAAGCGATGTCATTCTCTTCGTTGACCGGGAATTCGGCGGTTATTTTGTCGTCAACTCTCGGATAACACATTTTTAATACATCAATCTGTATAAAGTATTGAATGTAATTGTATTCAAAATAATTTTAAAAAATACAATTTAGAAAACTTGTGTTAAAATAAAATATAATTCATTTCATAAATAAAAGGCAGATTTTTGTAAAGGCTAAAAATTAAAGTGAGGAAAATTATAAAGAGATGAATTTTAGAAATTTTTTTACGCTCATCAAAATACTGATAATCTATTGAAATACCAATCATTAAAAACTTGGGTTAAAATGATATACAATTTAATTTATTTTGTAAAATAGTGTCGATTTTTTCCATAGGTTTGTATAATGATTAAGAGAGGGTTAAAGAAATATAATGAGATAAGTTTGGAATTTTTTTATAGACTAATTAAAATGTAAATCTATTGAAATACTAGTCATACTTATAATGTACTGTATTGTTATTTTGCCAAACTTTGCTTATAATTCCCAGTAATTCCCAGTAATTCCCAGTAATTCCCCGGTAGGAGTGGAGCGACGGACCAATATTTCCCCGGTAG